GGGGCCTTGAAATGCATGTCTGGCATCTTAAACTTGGGGCCTTTCAACTTTGCATCAGGACATTCCAGATCAACATCAGGCACCTCCATATCCACACTGGGGCCTTTCAAATCTCCCTCCAATTTTGGCACCGACACATCGACATTCCCTTTCACTTTGGGGCCCTTCAAGTGTACATCAGGCATGGAGATCTTGGGGGTCTTGAAGTGCATGTCTGGCATCTTAAACTTGGGGCCTTTCAACTTTGCATCCGGACATTCCAGATCAACGTCAGGCACCTCCACATCCACACTGGGGCCTTTGATATCAACTTGCGGACCTCTGAGATCACCTTCTAGTTCTGGCATGGAAGCATCTATCTCTCCTTTCAGTTTGGGTCCCTTCAAATTCAAGTCCACATCTGGCATAGATATTTTGGAAGTTTTGATATTCAACTTAGGCATCTTAAATTTAGAGCCTTTTAATTTTCCTTCTGGTCCCTCAACATCCAAATCAGGAGCATCAATGTCCATTTTGGGGCCAGAAACATTAATGTCAGCCTTTGGTAAGTTCACATCCACTTCTGGGCCCTCTCCTTTGAAGCCTGGCATGCTGAACTTGGGCATTTTCACCTTGGGCATCTTCAGGTGCCAGTCTGGGCCATGAACGTCCACATCCGGGACATCAATGTCCACTTTGGGTCCTTTAACGTTAACATCTGGCACTTTCATTTCACTTTCTACCTTGGGAACAGACACATCCACATCCCCTTTGACTTTGGGGCCTTTCAAATGTAAGTCCACATCAGGCATGGAGATCTTGGGGGCCTTGAAGTGCATGTCTGGCATCTTAAATTTGGGGCCTTTCATCTTTCCTTCTGGACATTCAATGTCAATATCACCAACATCCACATCCATCTTAGGGGCTTTCACATCAATTTCAGGACCTTTCAAGTCTCCTTCCACTTTGGGAAGAGAAACATCTGCATCAGTTTTTAGTTTAGGGGCTTTCAGATTTAGTCCAACATCAGGCATAGAGATTTTGTGTGTCTGTATACTCATGCTTGGCATCTTGAACTTGGGACCCTTTAGTTTCCCCTCTGGACCTTCGATGCTCACATCTGGAGCATCAATGTCCACCTTGGGCCCTGAAACATCAATGTCAGCCTTGGGCAGATTCACATCCACTTCTGGGCCCTCTCCTTTGAAGCCAGGCATGCTGAACTTGGGCATTTTCACTTTGGGCATCTTCAGGTGCCAGTCTGGGCCATGAACTCCCACATCTGGGGCATTAATGTCCACTTTAGGACTTTTGATGTCAACATCAGGAGGTTTTATCTCTCCTTCTACTTTTGGAACTGTAACATCATAATCTCCTTTCATTTTAGGACCTTTCAAATGCAAATCAACATCTGGCATGGATATCTTTTGAGGCTTTATATTCATTTCTGGCATCTTAAATTTAGGACCTTTTAGTTTTGCATCTGGACCTTCAATGTTCACATCTGGAATATCAATGTCCACCTTGGGTCCTGAGACATCAATGTCAGCCTTGGGCAGGTTCACATCCACTTCTGGGCCCTCTCCTTTGAAACCAGGCATGCTGAACTTGGGCATTTTCACCTTGGGCATCTTCAGGTGCCAGTCTGGGCCATGAGCATCAACATCTGGAGCACTGATGTCAACTTTGGGCCCTTTAATGTCAACATCTGGCACTTTTATGTCACCTTCTACATCAGGCAAAGACACATCTGCATCTCCCTTTAGTCTTGGCCCCTTAAGATTCAGGTTCACATCAGGCATGGAGATCTTGGGAGCCTTGAAGTGCATCTCAGGCATCTTAAACTTGGGACCCTTCAGCTTCCCTTCTGGTCCCTCAAGGCTCACATCTGGGGCTTCAA